GCGAGCAGGGCAGGGGCAGCCATGGGGGGGATGGGAAAGCAGATGGGGGTTAGGGGTCTCGTGGCAGAGCCTCTCACATGGCGCAGGGCAGTGGGGGGCAGCGGGGATTCCTCCCCACCCCAGGCTGGCAGCAGCCTGTGACCGCAGGCTTTTTTTTTTTTTCCAAGAGCCAGGAGTTGGGGCTGGGAGGGCAGCCATTGAGAGTGGGCAGGGGATGGGGCATGTGTGATTCAAAGATTTGGCTGATTCAGCAGCAGCTGAATCTCTGAATTAGATGCAGCTGAATCGATTCAGGACAGTGATTCGAATCACCGAATCAAATCACTGTCCCCCAAACTGGCCAAATCTGAATCTGAAGCAAATACTAGTTGCTTTGCACAGGCCTACTCCTCAACTTATCATAGGTGGTTCTTCCCAGAAAATATTAACAGTTTTATTTTCTTTTACTGTATAACAGTTTCTTATTGGCCTTCCAATACTGTGCTCTTTAGTAGCTTCCTATGGTACCATGCCTATTAACTCCTTGAGTTGGGTGAAATCCACCTATTTGAAAGCTAGCATCTCAATTCTGATGACCTCATGCTTTCCCCATCTCAGGAGCTGAAATTCTATCATGTCATAATAGCTTCTTGCCAAGCTGCACATCATTTTTACATCCTTCCCCCAGTTCTTCTCTACTGGTCATGACAAGATCCAACATAGATGATCCTCTAGGTATAGCCTCAGCCTTCTGGAATAGAAGGCTGTCCTCCACAGAAGTTAGGACCTGGCTCAACATTTTATGTTTGACTGTATGGTTCTTCCAGCAGAAGGCTGGAAAATTGAATTTTCCCATAAGTACTATTTCATAACTTGTGGCTAATCTGTCACCTCCTTTAAGAGAGCCTCATACACCTCTTCTTCTTGATTAAATGTCCTATAAAAAATCCCCATCATTATAGCTGTACTGTATATTTTACCTTTTTTCTTCACCCAAATGCATTCTGACCTGCCATCTACTTCCTCCTAAACCAGGGAAGTGTTTTGGACATAAGGAAGCTCCACCACCTTTTTTCCTAACCTTGTCCTTCCAAAACAGTGTATAGCCCTCACCGTTGATGTTCCACTCATAACAGCTCTCTCACAAGATCTATGAGACTTCCAACTTCTCTTGTTTATTGCCCATACTTATTGCATTTGTATATATATGTTGGGCATATGTTTCATTCCAACCTATTCATTTCACTTTTACGTCACTTTTTGCTGTCCTGTGGCTCTCTGGCTCTATCCCAGAGTTGAGCTGCTGCTTTCAGTCCTTTCCCCTCTGGACTGTTTGCTCTGTTGCTGGAGGGTTTTGTTCACCATGCCCTATGGAACATAGTTTAAAGCCCTCCTTAGTAGCTTGGCCAGATGATACCCAAAGATTTTTTATCCAGTTCTGGTCAATTGAATCCTATCTCTTGTGAGCAGTCCCCATTCCCAGACATCCATCCATTGCTGAAAAATCTAAGGCTTTCATGCCGACACCACACTCTCAGCCACACATTTACTTCCATAGTAAGGGGGTCCCTGCCACAGCCCTTGCCTCCCACAGGGAGGATTGATGTGCCTGGAGCCCAAAATCAGGATATACAGCACACATCTTTGGATCCCAAATCCAGACAACAAACTGGTGCTTCTGTCCTCCACAGAAGGGAGCCTGCTCCTTGGTTTCCTCCTATGGTGAATTCATTAGGCAAACTCCCTCTGTTTGCAGACCTCTGTTTGCTGCTCTCATTGCTTGTTAGGGGCTGCCTTTTATAAGAAAGGAATAGTACACTTTTTTGTTTACTGTCCCAGTTTGGTGGATGAACCCATCAGTTTACACACACTTAATTGGTTCATTTCACTCGCAATAATTCCCAAGATGTTCTCCCAACAGTTGTTTAATACTGATTCCTAAGTTTATGCCAGTTCATCTAGGATTTAGAATTTCCTGCTGTTGAGTCTTTCATCAAAAGATTTACGCCCTGTTTTGTAATAAACATCAGATTAGGCATTCCAGGCTTCCTTGTCTATTGTTAATTGTAAGACATTGATTAAATTGTCCTGACCAAACTATGCATCTTGCCATTAGATTTAATTCTGCAAAGGTGTGCAAAGTGATAAAATATTTCTTCATATGCCATATGCATAGGGTGATTAATGTAAGAATGTTAATATCAGACTTTGAGGAACAAGTGCTATTTGAATTCCCCTTTGGGGCCCTGAGACTTGCAACTGATTTCAATATTCCCTCTGTATTTTGATCTTTTGTTTCCCAAGTGATCACTAAATAGACAGGAAGCCTCCCCTAAACAGTAGCAGATCTGAACAGGGCAAACAGGGGTGCAGCCCCCATACTTTTGCTGAGCCACATGTGCAGTGAGCTCTAAGTGCACTACCTGGTCATGGTAGCTGTCACAACCCAAAGTTGTGATTTTTGTTTTTGTGCACGCTTTGGCACTGCTAAATTATTTTCCCGCCAAATTGCAGCTTCTTTGAACTGTGGAGTTTTCTGCTGTAAAGGAGAACCCCGGTGCAAGGGAGAATTTCCCGCCAATTTGTAGCTTTCTTTGCATGGTGCATTTCTTTTTGCATCTAAGAAATGCTTGGTGCAAAGAGTTCCCGCCATTTGTATTATAATTCGAGCCCCATTATTGGCTTG